GATGACTGGAAGCTCTTCACAGACCAATGACAAGATAGGGATGTGTTTGGTCACTGTAGTTTAGTGGATATAATTTCATGATCTGAGGGAAAGCTATATATACCTACTTATCAGAGACCTTTGCTGTTAGTAACCAAAGATTTACTTACTTTTAAGGTCTCTATTCTGACTCTGGTACTAAAGTATCTGGTAATATCTGTCTATGTGTCTATATCTATTTATATAATTGTCAGAGGACTTGAATACTAGAAGACTAAAGCAAAAAAAAAAAAAAGGATAATAATGCTCTACTTTATGGTTGATCTTTACTTGCTCTATTAAAAATTATTAGTGTTTTATGTGAATGTATGTCTGTATACCAAGTGCTTGCCTTGTACTCACAGAGGCCAGAGAGGGTGTTGGACCCCTTGGGACTGAAGTTATAGTCAGCTTTTGACTGCTATGTAGGTGTTAGGAATCTAGCCCAGATCCCGTGGAAGAGCAACCTGTGTTCTAAACTGTTAAGTGATCTCTCCAACACCTATTTGCTGTGTTAAATATTTTTTAAAAGTTTTTGAAAACTTCACAGTATTTAGTTATACTCACCTCAACTGTGCCCAGATCCACTTCCGCCAATCAACTTACCCAAATTCATATCGCCTTTTTATTTTATATTTTTTAACTTATCTAGTTGAATTTGTGCTGCTTAAATACTGTTTATGTGTGGGTCTATCTCCTAGACCATGGTCAGCCTAGCAGGGGGATTGTTTTGAAGCCTAAATTATTTCTTTTTCATGTAGATTTTTGTTATTATTTAGAAAATTCTCAAATGTCGCTGATTGCTTGCATATGCTAAGAAACCTCTTGCCCTTTTGAAATGGGACTGGAATGAACTAGGCCCTTTCCAATGAAGTAGAGATTAGACTTGTTGATGGCTCCTTAAGTGTACTCAGGCCAGATGACTTTATATAAACTCAGTCTTTGCACTTGAAAAGACTATATTATTTGACAGTTTTTTGGAAGCTGAAAAAAGATATGATACCTGTTTAGCACTCCTGTAACATGCCTGCCTCTTCAACGTGAGGCCATCAGAAGCAGCCTCATTATTTAGATATGTGCATGACCCTTTCTGGGTGTGCGATTTGTGAACAGAGAAATAGGTGCACTGCGCTCAGCAGACTATGGTTGTCAGTGTGAAACAACATGCTTGAGTGGTGCTCTGAGTAGGCTGCAGCTTAGCTAAGCCATAAGGAGATAAGGGTCACCGAACACAGTGATCTCCCAGCCTTTGATGCTGTTGACCTCTCCAGTGTTTGGGAGGACTGTATCCATAGCACCATCACATGCTACCTAGCACTGAGGGAATGAAGGAGCAAAGCATCTAATAACATTTGGGAGGGTATTTGTGTCATCAAGCTGGGACAATCTATAATGTTCCAAATTAAAAAAAATATGGAGAGTCTGGATATCTTAAGCAATTTGATTGAAAAAAATTACATATTTCCCCTCAAAGTCCTACTTAGTATTTAATTTCAATTAGTAACTGGGGGAAGGTGAGTAAAATGAAACATTTATTTCTTTCTGGCATTTGGACCTACATATTTATGATTGAAAATTTTACATTGTGTGGAATGTCAAGATTCTCCACTTTAAGATCTGCAAGCCCCTTTCAATTGCCTTCAGTGTGGTGATTTTATTTTTGGAATAGCACACCTGATATTTTTTTGTTATATATTAGAACAAATTCCATTTTAAAGGAAATGCAGTCTTAAATATTTCTGCTGAGTTGATTGCAATGACTTACATTTAGTTAAAGACTTTTAAACTTAAATTGTAAAACTCCCTGAAGAGAATCTGATCTTTGACCAGTTGCCTATGCATCGTAGCAACTATGTCTTGTGTCTGGTTACAGAATGATTGCAAGACTTGTGCTATGTCTGCAAAATTCTGCTGTAAAGTACTTAAAAAATACTTGGTGAATAGTTTAAGGCCAGTTAGCCATAAAGCCTTGTGTGAAATGTCATTAAAAAAAAACCCATTAACCACACGGTACTATTATATTCAAGTCAAGCTGTTAAAATACCCTCACATAAACATAGAAAAGATTATATATGCAGCCTACAGAGTTCTATGGTTTGACCCTTGAAATCTAAATAAAAGTTATATTATCCTTAGAGTAAAATTCTGAAACAAACCAGGCTTCTATAAAGGCTCACTCTTCTAAGAACCTGGGTGTCAGTCACTCAGTGAAGTCATTTCTGTTAGTGTGAAATAGAGCAGATCACTATTGTGCGATGAGACAGGACTTTGACAGTAGCACAGGTGTCCCCTCCCCCGCCATGTGCCACAAAGAAACTTTTCTGGTTTGCCATACTTATAGCCATTACAATTCTCTAATAATATGTGTGGTGGGTGGGGGTGGCAACAGCAAAGAGGGGTAAAGGGGTGATTTTAGGGGGTGAATAAACAAAGAAGACCAAGTAGGATTTAATGAGTTGTAAGAAGATTATTGATGGCAATTCAGACCCTGTGGCAGGGAAGAATTCACCCACGTATGCACACTGTAGATAGATTTTACATAAATGCTGACCTTGTTCATGAAGTGTTGAAAGTGTGGGACAAACTGAATATATATTCCTGACAGAATAAAATGCATTAAAAAATGAAAACTCAAAACCCTACGTAGTTAACATCTTCCCATCCTCAAATCAATGTGAATAAATCCAAGAAAACTCTTTGTAAGTTGACACGACCTGACTGATAACACTTGTCAGCATTCCTTTCGAAGAAGGAAAAAGTAACTTTCATTACAATTCTGCATTTTTGTTTTATGTGAGTCTTACTTAAAGTAGTAGAGAAATTTCTAGGAATCCACACAACATGAAGACTGTGGTTTGCATATTGTATTAGGGATTTCAGGTGCTCTTGTCATACAGAAAACCACATGGCATGATGTATGCTAGTTTGCTTTTCTATGTTAACCCACTCTACCATCCATAGATATATAGCAAATATAAAACACATCCAGTGACTTAAGCTGCCAAGAAAAAAATAACAGGATTAGCATATCATATATTAATGAAGCAGCACAAAATGAAACTGGTGGGAGTTGGAGCCATTTAAGAGAGATACATTTTGAACCCCTACTTCAATTTTCATGAATGTATGTTGAAGGTATAACTTAATGTGTTTCTTATTTAGCTATATCCAAATAGTAGTGATGAGGAGAAACTATTTGACATTTTATTTAAAGAGACACATGCCCAAAGGAATTTAAGATGTATCTTTCTATGCCTTGAACAGTGTGTTTACATTTCTCTTCTCGCAGTACAAAGTATATTTTCATTCACACTATCTGAAGTATTTACTGCATCTTCTTTTAAAGCTTACAATGGTGACTATAAGATCAGAGTAACAAGTAATACTGGACAGACATCATTTTAATGATGCTTTGGTAAAAGCCTAGGCATTTAATCATTTTCTTCAACTTGATGTTAAAGATTAGTTACAATGTATGTGCCAGAGATAGCTTGTAGTTGTTTTAGATTTTTATATTTACCAGAATTAGGTATGGATCACATGATAATAATTATTAATAATTTTTAGTTATTTGACAACCCATTTGCCTTAGCTTCAATAAATGCAAAATGAGTGTGTAAGTTAGGATGAATGGAGATATAAGAAAAATGTTAACACATCTGCAGAGTTTATTTTAGTAGTCCAGTCAGTGTTGTGCTGATGCACACAGGGGCTGAGAAAAAAACAAGATCATTTTGATTGTCCTCAACGAGATGTTTCTCTTTCTTTACTGGATGTTGAATAGTGATACTTCCTAATGTGGAAGAAAGCAGCTTGTAAGAGGAGCAGCCACCCGCAGAAAAGAATGCTTTCTTATTTAGAGATGGGTTTGCAGTGGCAGGGTTGGCTCCGTTACACGTATTCCTTCTGCATGTTTCTCAAGCTTTCCCTAAGCCTGTGTGTCAGGGAAAGCTAATTCTACAACTGCATCCCTCTGGGAGGTGGTAAGGACTGGAATAGTCTGTGCATCTTCCACAACTCAGTGTCTCCGCTGGCACCATTTTCACTGTGATGACACTGGAAATGAGCCAGCTGCAGGAGCAGGACTCTGTCATAGATGGGAAAATATTCTGGTGTGGGTGAAGCCTCAAATTCTCTCTTTTCTTAGAACACTAGCCTGGAAGTTTTGTACTTTTAGCAGTAGAAATGTCATCTGGCTTAGTGTTTCGTGCCATGTGACATTGAGTCCCAAGAATGACTTGGAATGAGTAACTAGAATATGTACATTTGACATCAGGATTGTCCCTGGTAAGATGTCAGGAATAAAATCAGTCTGGCTCTGGCATGTGTTATAAAAGCCAATGATGTTCAGGAGTGAAAGGCTCCTCCTGGTCTTTTCAGAATGACATAAATCCAGTCCCTTCCATCTAGGGAGTCCTGGCTTTCATGTATCCAGGCTCTCTTCTCATTGCTCCAGTGAATACATGTGACCATTGCATCCATGGGATAGAAGCAAACTTTCCTTTTCTAAAAATGCACACTTGGGACAGAGAATGAAAAGGCCAGAAGGAATCCTTTCCCCTTTCTTACTGAATAGAGACTAATCTCTTTTAATGTGTGGAGCAAGTACCAATTATTTCTATATATGGTCTGGTGAAATGGTCTTAATTTCAACTTTTGTTTTTCTGTAGCTCACAGCATCACCAATGGTGTGTTGCAGGACTAATATGTCTATGTTGTTTCTTTTTTCATTGTAAGAACCCTGTTGTCACCTTAAGCATGTTGAAGTGTTTTGGTATTTTATTCCTACACTCTTAATATGGAATTTTTCTTCTTATTGTAACTAGACAGCAACACATTGGAAGAGCCACATGGTGATTTCACTTAACTTGTAAAAGTTCAGCAGCTTCTGTGTCGTGTGTATGAGTGTGACCAGCCTGTCTTCTGTCATACCCTGCCACATCTTCCTTTTAAGTATTGTGAAAACTCTTTGTTTTTTTCAGGTCGAATGAGTGATATGGTTGTGAATGGTCATCCAATAGATTCAGATCCTAAAGAAGATGAACCATGCAGTGAAGAAACAGATCCACTGCATGATCTGTTTGCTGAAATTTTACCCGAATTACCAGATTCCTTTGAAATAGACATATATCACACTGAGGAAGATGAAGAAGGAGATGAGGATTGCGCAAATTCAACTGATGTCACAACGACTCCCTCGGTACAGTACATCAATGGGAAGCATCTTGTCACCACAGTGCCCAAGGACATGGAAGCTGCAGAAGCTAGGCGTGGCCAATATGAAAGTGTTGCACCTTCTCATAATTTCTCAGACAGTTCTGCAGGTGACACCCACCAGTTTATAATAGCGGAAATGGAATTATCAACTTCCATGCAATTTAACAAATCTAAAGAAGCCACCGAATTGATAGAAATCACATGGAAACCTGAGACTTACCCTGAAACACCAGAACAGTTTTCAAGTGGTGAGCCTGATATTTTACCTACAATCTCATCCCATGAGGGTAAAACTATTAAATTGGCTGAGTCCATTACAGAGAGCAGTCCAATCCTTGAAATTCCAGAGCATCAACAGCCTAAGCCTATACTTCTGTCTCTTGATGAGTATTCAGGAGAGGGTGCCATTGAACAAGTATCCCAAAAAACAGTCTTCTCTGGGACTACAGAAGTAACTTTAAGCAAAGAGGAGGAACAAAGTCCTACCATATCTACCTCTAATATACTTTCAAGTTCTGTGTCAGTGAGTGTTTTGGAAGAAGAACCAATTACCCTAACAGGAACCCCACAGACTGATGACTCCTTGTCTACTGTGGAAAACTGGGTAGAGACAATGCCTAGACAAACTGTAGAGTTCTCAGGGAGTTTTTCAGCCCCTATTACTGAAGGATCTGGGGAAGTGGAAGAATATAACAATAAAATCTTCACTATGGCAACTGATTTACCACAGGGAAATCCTACAGATAAATTCATCCCTTTGGATATGAGCAAAATAATGACCACGGACAGCCATTTATATAGTCCCAAAACCACCATTCCTTTGCATTCAGAGCTACCTTCTCCAGATGGAAGTACTACACAATTTGTAATTCAAACAGATGCTTCTGAGTGGGTTTCTAGTATATCTTTTGAAGGAAGGAAAAGGGAAGAAGATAAAGAGAAAACTACAAATGCAGCTCCCATCATTGAAGTACAATCGCCAGCACAAATGTCAGATCACATAATTTTACCTCCAGAATTAGAAAGCTCAAGTGTAGCTGCATCTAGTGATTTAGCTACCTGGGAAAGTTTTATGGCAGAGACAACATCCACAGGGTCTGAAAAGGAAATAGCAAATTCCACTCTTTCTTCTAGAGAAACAAATGATTTGATCAATTTGGAGGCACAGTCCATTAAGCACAGTAGTAGCAGTCAGCTCCAGGTCCAGGAAGTGCTGTCCACTCTCTCAGAATGGCCCCAATCTCTTTCTGTGGAACAGAGCTCAGGAGATGCTGAAGCTGATCCAGAATCCGCGACTGCTTCATTTTCATTAACTTTGGAGTCTGAAACCCCAGTCAAAAAAGAATTACCTAGTGCTCTGCCTCCCAGTGTGGAAACTTCATTCCGCTCAGAGGCAACAGGATTCTCTCTGAGTACTGTATTGGACAAAGGAGTTGCTGAAGTTGTGAACCAGGTATCTAAGGAAACATGGACTTCAGAAGTATCAGGAAAGCCAACACCCCAGGCAGAAGTAAGGGATTTTTCTACAGGTTTTCCTTTGGCAGAAGATTTCAGTGGTGACTTTAGTGAATTTTCAACAGTGTCTTATCCAATGATGAAAGAGGAGAGAGTGGGTATGGGAGATTCTGAGAACAAACAAGTTGGGGATACGCAGACTTCAATAACTATACCACCTACCTCAGACATTAACTTGGTGCCTGCCTCAAATGGACTCAGCAGTACCATGGCCAGCACCTCAGCCTTCCCCTTGGAAGAGTTCATGGCCTCAGCTGAGGGTTCAGGAGAGCAAATGGCCTCGGTCAGAAGCTCTGTTGGCTCAGCCCATCCCTTTGTTGTGGCAGAAGCAGATGCAAGACCCACAGCAGACACTGGAAATAATACAGAACTGACAGAAAATGGGGACATAAAGGTAAATGGCACAATTTCAGTGGAATTTCCCCAAACATTGGAGCCAGCCAAATTATGGTCTAAACAGGAGGTCAATACTGCAAAACAAGCAACTGAAAGTGAAATAGCATCCAAGGAAAAAGCGCAAGAACAAAAGACGTTTGAATCTCTCCAGAGTTCTCTTGCACCCGAACAAATAATGTTGGAATCCCAAACACTTACTGAAGATAAACCCCAAACTTCAGATTATTCTATGCTAACAACAATAAAAACATACAACACTAATAAGGAAATGGAGGAGGAAAACATGGCCATACCTCATAGGCCTACTCTCGATCCAGAGATAAAAGGCTCAGAACCATATGTTATTCATCCTGAAACAACCGGGAAACCACATTCTTTCATAGGTACTGCTTTAGTGACTGAATCTGTGCTAGCTACAAGTGTAGTCATGGATACATCAACTCAAGAGGAAGAAAGTACACAACCCTTCGAAAAGGATATGAAACAAACATTTAAAGAGTCAAGCACTGATCTCTCATTCTCTGGACTGGGATCAGGGGATGCCTTGCCTCCTCTAACTACAACATCAGTGAGTTTGACTGAAATAGAGCACATCATTAGCACATTGTATCCTGAGACATCTCACACGGAAGATGATGAAAGAATAGAAAATGGGTCAGATGAAGTTAGAACACTTATTTCCAAAACAGACAACATCTCTCAAGATAATAAGGAGACACCCAACACAACTTTGAGTGGTGCTGAAAGAGAAGGACCTACTACTTCCCCTCGCCGTTTCACCAAGCACATGGATATGGGGCATTCTCCAAGTCAGACCTTCATATGGGAAGAAGAAATCCAGACGCATAGACCACAAACTATGACTGAACAGATCTCTAGTGAGAATTCTTCATTAGCAGAGACTGGAGCAGCAGCAACCACTTCCACTGTTTTCCTGGATCAAACTTACAGTATCAAAATGACCAAAGCATTTGTTGCATCAACATCGAAACAACCTGATTTCTTTTATTCACATTCCGGAGAAGGATCTGGAGAAATGGACGCTCTTGATTTAATGTACACCTCTGGACCTACTCAGGCAACTGATCAAAGAGACAGCACAATTGCTTCTGATGGATTTCTGGGAAAGCATCCAATGGTATCAAGAAATGAGGCTCGAGCTACTGATGGACCAACAGCTTCAGCAATGTTACCGCATCACTTAGAATACAATGAAAATTCCCTGTATCCAACTAGCACATCGCCAAGCACAGTGCTGTATGAGAGTCCCACAGAAGGTATTGCAGATAGTTTTCAAGACCACATCAGATTTGAAGGTTCTACCTTGAAGCCTAACAGGAAAAAAACCACTGAAAACATTATTATAGATCTAGACAAAGAGGATAGTAAGGATTTAGGATTGACAATTACTGAGAGTGCTGTTGTTGAAATTCTACCTGAGCTGACATCAGATAAAAACATTATTATAGACATTGATCACACTAAACCTGTATATGAGTACATCCCTGGAATACAGACGGACTTAGATCCAGATATACCGTTGGGATCACATGGCAGTAATGAAGAAAGCCTTCAAGTTCAAGAGAAGTACGAGGCAGCTGTTAACCATTCTACAACTGGGGAAACAAGTGAGGGCTCTGGCGATGCACTTTTTGCTGGCTACACTCAAACAATGTACTCTGAGTCTGTAAGTTCTGAGGATGGAAGGCAGGCAGAGCATGCAAGCTTTAACTTTGTAACTGGAATCCCAGTTCCTAGCATGGAAACAGAATTAGATACTTTGTTTCCCACAATGTCAACCCTGCACACTCCTAGTAAGCTACCCACAGTTAGTCCAGAAGTTAGAAAACCCAAAATTGAAGCAGTATCTCTGGATGATATATTTGAATCAAGCACCTTGTCTGACGGTCAAGCTATTGCAGACCAAAGTGAAGTAATATCAACACTGGGCCATATGGAAAGGACGCAGGAAGAATATGAAGAAAAGAAACACGGAGGTCCTTCTTTCCCACCAGAGTTCTTTTCAGGAGCGGGGGAGCCATTGACAGGTCCCCCTGCATATGTAAGTATTGGTAGTACCCACCTCATGGCTCAGCATTTAACAGAAACCCCTGATGTGACAGAAGCATCTGACTCCACACATTACACTGAAGCAACATCTGCAGTTTTCTCTCTGGCAGAGTTGTCTTCCCAGACACCACCTTCTCTCTTCCCTGTCTACATAGACAGTGGAGTCTCTGAGTACCCAGAGGTTCCCCACACAAGTGAGCAGCCAGGTCCTAGTGCTGCCTCATCACAGAGACCTGGAGATGGTTCTTTTAAGGAAGCCCTTGCTAATATTGACACTACCATTGAGCCATCTGGTGAAGAGGATGTCCACAGAACTGAAACTCCAGTGTTGCCTCCTGACTCTACATTAGCTATTTCAGAAGATGAAAATAACCATAAATTGTTAGAAGAACTAGAAACTTCTCCCACAGAACATATTGTTGAAGAGGAAACTGAGACATTCCGAGATTCCCCAAAGAAAGCCAATGACCAAATTGTAGGAGAAACAATTGGAATGTCCCCCAGTGTCAAAACACCAGAAAGTGGACCCCTCATCATAGCTGCAGATGACATTGAGTTAGTAGGTGTCACCCATCAGCCACATTCTGCTTCTGCTTCTGTGGCTTTCAGGGTTGAGACAGGTGTGGTTCCTCAGCCCATCCCACAGAAGCCCAAGGAGCCTACCTTTCCTTCTTTGGAAATTAACCATGAAACATACACAGCTTCAACTGGAGAAGACTCCATAAAAGCAGCATCTGAAAAACAAGTGTCAAAAAGAATTCTTGATCACAGTAATCAGGCAACAGTCGGCACTCTGGAGCTAAGTACTGAGCATCCAATACCACCATTTCTCACTCTGGACAATTCTAATGAAACTGCTTTCCTGGTTGGCATTAATGAAGAGTCCGTGGAAGGCACAGCAGTTTATCTACCAGGTAAGATGTCAACATTGATGCATCTGTTTCCAAGGCTGAAATCAGTCCCTTGGTTCTATCATGTACATGTGTAATGTGAAATTCATAAAGACTTTTATATTGTTCAGGACAAGCCACAGTAGTGAGTTATAACTTGATGCAATGAATCTAAATATGAACATTTCTGTACTTTACAGAATACTTTGCATTTTTCCTGCGTCTGATAGATGACATACAGTTGTAACATACAGTTGTTGCTAATGTGAAATAATTGCCTAAAACTCAATGTGTTTTCATCTGTAGCTGAAATATTGCCATGTCGTATGTCCTATAATTACACATCATAGCTATGAAAATGGTGAAGATCAGACTTTTTTTTTTTTTACAAGTGCTTCCCTTTAATAGATGCTATTATGTTAGTGCCACAATTTAGCAGGCCTTTTACATCTGAGAACAGTAACTATTCCTTACAAATGCCTTGTGGTTGGTGCGATCAACTACAGTTTGTCTAGTGTGATTTCCTTGCTTGAAATGGTTTACACAATTGAAACTTTGCTCTTAGTCATAGTGTATTTAGCATATATTTGCATTCTATCTCTTGAAAAATTCTCGTTTATATACTGACTATAAAAAGCACAAATTTGATACTACTTCATATAGACCATTTCATTTAATCATCACAAAATGCCTTAAAACTCATCCTTTTACATGAGCTCAGTGTAAAAGGATAAGACATAGGTATTCAGAAGGGGTCAGTAATTTGCCCAAGGATGCACAGCCACACCATGATAAAAGTGGGATTTGATAAAACAGTCCTACTGTGAGGCCCATGGTCTTTTTACTGCCCTTTTATTGATTTTCAATATAGCATAAATTTAACAACTGACATTGAATAAATATAAATCAGTAAACTTGGAATATTTACTTAATAGAAATGATCTTTTTTTATAATCAAGCCTAAGAATGTTGAAACGTCAGCTCTTAATGTCTGTTCCTACAATGCTATTATTTGAACAGGAATAATAATGAAATCCACAAATAACTACCATCACCTAATGACTACCTAGAATGAAAGCAAGAAAGGAAGGGAGGGAGGAGGAGAGAGGAAATGAGGAAGGAGAGACAGAATTTTAAGTGCTGTGTTGGCTGAAAATAAGTCTCATCTTAAATACTGCACTTTAGGTCATGGCTATTAGAATGATTCTTCTAGTCATATTAATATTACTGTGACAAATATTTTACCTTGAGAATCAGAACACAGCCGCTTGTGACTTTAATAAAAGTCTTATAGTTGGAGTACTTTATGAATAAAATTGATTTAAGATAGTTGACACTGAGAGTACTTTGAAGTATCACTATATCAAATATATAATGATAGCCTAGTGATGTGACTAATATTTATTATTTTATCAGTAAACTGAAATGCACTTAAGGATGCGGAACTAACGAGCAGATGAAAGGGAATCTCTGCATTATCTAAACCACACTATTTCCTGACACTTGATGGTCTGTCGTCACAGGGCTATCCTTGTATTGTGATTCCATAGACAGTAGCTTGTGTGGGAGTGTCCAGCTTCTGTGTCATAGGATCAGTTTTCCCAGGCCCACACAAACTACCAAGGAAGAAGTAGGTGCTGAAAAGCAAACTTGTGTCTTAACCAGAGCTCCTTCAAGTTCACAGGAAAAGCTCCTTTCCTGCCAGGACTCATCATTTGGCCTCAGCATGGGGCCTGCTATCTATGATAGCAGTGAAAACGTGTCACAGTACCACCAGCATGGTCACCTAAGTGCCAGTTTGAGAGTTTGTTCCGTGTGTATGCCATTGGAACCTCGGCAGTGTACCTTAGTATGTGGTAAAACAAGACTGTAGGGAGGTTTAAAATCCTTGGAAATACAAGAGAAAGCATTTCAGAAAAATGAAGGCAGATTTTAGAGAAACTGAAATAAGCATCTGAACTTATCTCGTTTGAACAAAAATTATAAATGGATGTGAGGACTCCTTGGACCCATGTAGTTGTAAAGATTTTACTTAATGCTAAGGAAGGGCTGAGTTTGAACTTCTCATCTGGGAATGGATCATGTTCTTTCTAAAACCAGTGTTTCATCAGAAGTTAGACATCCTGTCATGTACAATTATTTCAGGATTTGGGGAGGTAAGATTTTTGAAAACACAGTTTACCCATATAGTCTATTTTATTTCAATTGTTTTGTAAAGCTTTTGAATTTCTGTTGGAACCTTGAACATTTTGAGGATTAAGCATTTCTGAAATAATATTAAAATTCTTATTAAAAGTACATATATCCATACCAATATGACAAAATAAAAGGTATAAAGTATTTTTACTTAGAAAATACTACTTAAACTCTTATACCAAACTGAAAATGTATAGTTTTGGCTTTTTCATCCATCTCCTAGAAGGGTTAGTTTATTTATATTTTATTAAGAAAACTGTAACAAAAATTGGGGCTTCATTTTACATGAGGATTTTGTACTTGGGGTTGCTTTTATACAGTAGCGTTTAATCCATGTGTTGCTTTTCTTCAAGTATAGTTTAAAGGAGTACATTGGAACGTGTTTTTGGAAAAGGCATGTTAATGTAGCAGAAGAAACTTCAGTGCACACTTTGGAAGACAGTTTCTGAGCATTAATTGGTAAAAGGCAATAGGAATTCAAATACTGGTAACAAGCCAATCTGCTAAAAGAATGCATGTTCTGTGTTCCCAAGTCATTTCACATGAACTAACATCGTTCAAAAGAATACATTTCCATTCACTGTGCACATATGTGTAATCATTTTTAACTAAAATCAATGCCATTATCATGCCAACTAAATCTGCCATAGAATATAATAGTGGTCAGGTGGGGTATAATGTATTGTTTACAAGTGATAATGATTGAATCCTAGAAATGAATAGATGGAATTTGTAGCAATTAATTATAATTTCAAGAAACACTCCAGAGTAAAGTTAATTTTATATGCAGTACCTCTAAACTGCTATGGTAAAGCTTCTATTATGGTAGCTATAAGTGACATTTTGTGCTAAAATGCCTTTAAACCTGGGAGGGGAGGCTAATTGTTCTTATTTTCCTGAACACGATAGGACCTGATCACTGCAAAACAAACCCATGCCTCAATGGAGGCACCTGTTATCCTACAGAGACATCCTATGTGTGCACCTGTGTTCCTGGATTCAGTGGAGACCAGTGTGAACTTGGTAAGATGTTCTTGGATGAAGAGCTACAGTACTTTTCCATCAATTACAGTGGGAGAGATGGTGTATTATGGAATCCATTGGCAATTTCAGAGAAATCTGTGTATAAATGAACCGTATATTAAATGGGTTAACTAAACAGGTTTTTGATGGTTGTGTCGATACAACCCATACCCACCAAGGCTTCACAAAGGACATCTCTGTCTTTTTGTGAATATCTGAAGTAATGGAAGCTTCACCATCAGACGTGAGATACTTTATGAGTTCTAGGGCTCATCACATTCACCAATTAGCAATGGAAATACCTTGCTTTGGAAATATTTTTGAGATTGTTTTGGGGTTTCTAATTTCAACAAAGAAACATTCGTGAAAGAGAAATTTAGATTGAAAATAAAATGGAAACTTTGGTGTGTGTGACACTGACCAAAATGTAACACATGATGTACTTTCCCAAGTTACTTTCATAAAATCTGAAAATTATATTTAGTTCCCATCATTTGCCTTATTCAGAAAACTCTCACTAAGTAGAAAAATTTTGCCCTCTTTGTTCACATTTACAATTTTATTTCAGATTTTGATGAATGTCATTCTAACCCTTGTCGAAATGGAGCCACGTGTGTGGATGGTTTTAATACATTTAGGTGCCTCTGCCTTCCAAGTTACATTGGTGCACTCTGTGAACAAGGTAAGACCTATTTTAGCATTTTTTTTGTAATGAACATTAACTATGTTAATTTTGAGACTTGCTGTATGAGCTTTATATTGGGAAAATTCACTGGTTACATTAGGGTTCCTAGGATGTGAATAGCCCCAAACATGTAAACTATATAGGGTCCTCACTGTATTTGTTTTGCTGATATGTTAGATTCATATGGGCATGCTGAGTTGAATTTAAGGACATCTAGTCAATACAAAAATACAGTTGCAAGTATTACTTCTGAAAACACAACTGTCTTTTATCATCTCATGACTTGAGTGTATATCAGGGTAATGGATTGCCTTCATTTTATCCCCATAAGCAGCTGCACTTGTGGGGCTTATGCTCACAGTCAGCCATGTCTAGAGAAAGCCTTGGTGCATGGTTACAGTGCATTAGCTGTGGCTTGCCAAACACTTTGTGGAAGAGGTTGCACAACTGCTTCCAAGAATCACCGCTATTAAAGAACCCTCTAGTTTTTCTGAATGAAAGAATGGCCCTAAATCTCACAATCCTTGTGATTTGCACTTCATGGCTGAGCTAATAGTATTCTGCAGGTGGTTCGTGGTAATCATGTTTATTTCATTGTCCAGAAATGGACTGCAGGCTCAGCACACTGATCTTCGGAATGCTGGTTTCCTGTTCCTAAAACCATGCAGTGGTTTGGCCTTGATAAGAATGCTCAGTGCCAAGCTTCCATTCCACAAAACAAAATGAAAATGTATTAGACACCCAGACACATTGGCCCACTCTCCCACTTCAGGGCATTAATCCAGATGTTCACTGCAACGAAAGCAAGAGGAAACCCAAAGTCACATGGACTGAAGCTACTGTTGTAGGGAATGGATAAGGGCTGCATTTTAAAGATTTATTTTTCTCGTTTAAAATTGCATAGACTAAGTCAGCTTTGGATTTTACATATGAAAACATACCAAGCTTATACTCTTTTGAAAAATTTTGGCATTTATTTGTTATTTAATGCCTGTTGGTACCTTGTCATACATGTGGAGGAGGACATCTTTTTTGTTGTTGTTGTTTATTTGTTTTTGTTTTTTTGAGTCAGGGTTTCTCTGTATCCTTGGCTGTCCTGGAACATTGTCTATAGACTAGGACACCTAGGAACTCACAGAGATCCACCTGCCTCTGCCTCTGCCTCTGCCTCTGCCTCTGCCTCTGCCTCTGCCTCTCAAGTGCTAGGGTTAAAGGCATGTGTCACCAATACCTGGTCCAAGCTCATATTCTTAAAGAGTAGAAAGCTTATTGCTTCATGAACACAAAAAGGGAAGACATAAACACTCCAATGCATTGAAATGATTAATGACATGCAATATACAGTACAGGGAGCAGGTAAAACAGAAACAAACAATAATTTGTCCATGTATTTATTGAGCGCCTACTGTTGTCCTGACATTGCAACACTAAAAATAAATTTTCAAGTAGGACCAACTTACTGATATTGGTAAATCAGGGAGACCGCTTGCATTGATATGTAATTTCAAGTGCTAACAACTTTGGGTTGTGTGGGAACTAAGGTTTAGAGAAGACTAGTGATGCATTCAAGGTGACACACAAGAGATATGATACTGAGTAGCTTACTGCTAATGTTCATGGTTTCCCAACATCTTCCTGCTTCTGAAGCAACCCTCAAAGACAGGGTTCTTACATGGTAAGCATCTAATGGATTGTGTGGGAGCAGATTGTCTGAAGGGCCTTTGGGCCTAGCTACCTCTCACTTCATCTTTGAAAGGAGACAGATTACTCCTTCATTAATGTTCCCACCTAACTTTCAGGAGCCCCTGTTTCCTCTCCCAACAAATCTAACCTTCCTGTGTTTTGTTTACTTCAGTCTGTCTACCCAGCTGTCTGCTCAGTACAGCTGCACTCCTCGTGCACGAAGATTTTTCTGTCCTTTCAGGTCGCCTAAGAACAAATGTTTTCTTCATTAACAGCAGTGCTGTCATCTAAACAGCTTTCTGTCCAAGGTTCCTATGACTGTGTCATTGTTTCTTCAGCTGACCTTTGCCCTGCATGAGTAACGGCTTAAGTCCCAGTAACTTTGAACAGGGGACGTATTTTGGTGACTAACCCAAACTCTAGAAAGGGCTTTTGGAATAGCAGAGAAACAGGCACAGAAAAATTGCTGTGAACCTAAGGATGCAGCTTGCTGGGGTGAGGGGTGTTGACAGTGTCTTAAGGCTTAGCAGCTCTGTGTCAGAAGCGCAGAAAAGGTCACCTACACAGCATATGGGACAGATGTTTATGGAGTGGTTTTAAGAGTGACTGTTTAGTGCCTGCAGTCATGAGCAGGAGTTGCCAGGTCTCTGTGTTGTCACTTTTGTGCCGTAAGTCCTTGAGGCATACGATGCCCATCTATAATGATGAATGATGTTTAAAAAAATATCATATACCGGGCCCATGACAGAGCTCAGAGTTAGAATGGCTGCCCAGCATATACAGAGCTCTGGGTTTGATCCCAAATGTTGAGGGTGGGATGGGGCATGAAACAACTAAAAATACTTCAAAGTGTTGCCTTTAAAAAAAAAGTAAAAGAGAAATCAACAGCAACAAATGAGATTATTATTTTAGATAAATTTGGAAAAACACCAAGAGCAATTTGTTTGTTTGTTTTTCATGACAGGGTCTCTCTGTGTAATAGCTCTGTCTGTCCTGGAACTCACTCCGTAGACCAGGCTGGCCTCAAACTCACAGAGATCTGCCTGCCTCTGCTTCCCAAGTGCTGGGATGAAATGTGTGGGCCACCACTGCTGGTCCCAAGAGCAATTCTCAAATGTCCCATGGAAATGATACTCTGGGAGATGCTCCCTGATTATGTAGTCCTTCATCATGCAGCTGTTAAATTCATGAGTACTAGAAATTAAAGTGATAAAAATGGATTTTGTCTCTACAAAAACAAAGGTGCCTTAATGGTACTAAGGTGTCTTCTTATGGATATTTACAGCTATAAAACTACTATGTTTTTGCAAGGATTTGTGGGACGGATTTATAATCCCACCTACTTGTGAGGTTGAGGATGAAAAAGAAGATAGCAAGTTCAAGGACCGTTTGGCTAATTGAATGAGATGCCACTTCAGAAAGAAGGCATAAAGGAAAGACTAAAGCTACATATCAATGGCAGAGTACTTGCATAGCATGGGTATAGCCCTAGGTTCAATTCCTAGTTCCACAATTTTGAAAAGGGCTACATTTTACTTAGATAGTATGGGTGGTAAATTCTCCCACCTTGGTATTAATACAAACTTAACCCATGTTCTTATAAGATGCTACATACTTATTAACTAAGGAAGACATTTGTCTATTCTGTTGTGTCTCCCTGATGCTAACAGCTTAATAAAGGGAAGGTATATATTTAATTTTCAGTTGTGGAGGCTGGAAGTTTAAAGCAGGGTAACTCTGTCTATTTGGTCTCTGATGGGGCCTATCTGCCACACCATGACACGGTGGAGAAGCAGAAAGCAAACCAATCTCATGCAGAAGGGAGAGATCAAAAGAGAGGCAAACTAGAGACCCTAACAGGGCAGACTTGCTCTTTTTATAACCATCTACTCTGAGACCTGAAATAGCATCAGTGTCACCAGGTGGGCCCCTTCACCTCCTTATCTTCCACTCAGGGTCATCACTTGCTCCTACCACCTCTTGATACACCAGTAACAGGGACCAATCTCCAGCACATGGACCTCTAGAGAGGAAGCCACAACCAAACTGTGAATGACACGGCCAAGCATTTGAATTTTATGGTTTTGCTTTTGTGGAAAAGAAAAACATAGTTATTGATAATCCATTTTAATGAGAAAAGACAGACAAGGAAAGCTAACCTGCCATCATTTAGTTTATAGAAGATAAGAAAGTATGCAAAGATTTGCTTTCTGATGTGTTAATCAGAAAGTTGGGTCCTAACTCTGCATGCCTTATCTTAATATAAATGGTAAATTGGGAGGTTAAGGCAAGCTGTGCAGTTATTATCTTGCAGAATTGGTTTGTCAGGAAAAGTGTTCTAAGTGGTTTCCAACCATCCTCCTGCATAGCGAACCTCACACATGGAAATTGATTTCTTCCCTGACTTTCCTCCATTATTGGATTCTTTCAAGTGAACTTTTCCCAAAGGCAAATTAATATCCAATTGACCAAAATTGTCTTCATTTATACTGAATCACGTAACTGTGTCATGCATTCTTCCTGTGAGAATTAGTGAGGTTCAAACAGTATCACAAGGCAAACTTCCAGGACACATTATCCAAAACAGTAAGTTGGCTGCTGCCTGCAACTAAACAGCAGACCTAATGGCCTAAATTGGACCTGTGACTGCTAGCCGATATGAGCCACATCCCTTACAAATTGTGACTAGAAATACTGAAGTCAGGGGAAAAATTATATATCTCAGGATGACAATCTCAAAACTATGCAAAAAGGAATCAATTAGACCAGAGTCATGCATTTGAGTTTCAATGGGGCTACCATGGATAGCATATAAAACAGGCATTGGAATTCAGTATTTTTCTTTAAATCTATAAATTTGTAAAATAAAAAATAGTAAATTTTATTTAGAGATGAAGAAGATCCTCCTTGGTGTTTAAAATTCTGTTAATGCTGTAGTTTTGTTAATGGACCTAGTTCAATGTATTTTGAAATATATTTTATGAAGATCAAAATTATTTTGGTACAGATAATTGAAGGACTTGCTTGTTCTACTTTTAATTAACTCAAAAGCTCTGTGTATTTGCATAAAACTTCCTAATTGTTCTTCTTTGGAGGGAGAAAGTACACTTTCCTAACTATGTCCTCAAAGCTGCCTGCTCAGGATATTTCTTCTTTTCATAAATCACACATGACAAGAGCTCCTAGCCTCCCAGAGAGCTCTCTGGGGAGTGAACTCTTCCAGAACTTTTGAAGTCATTGTACAAATAAAGTGTCCGTGACCCTGTTAGCGGGGATCGTCATCCCATCACTAGTGAATGTGTAGAAAAAGGTGCATTGAAGAGAACTTAGTGGCAACTATTTCACAAATAAGTCAGTTACTCTGTAGCCTGAGAGGTTTGGGGCCAATTGTCCTGCTGATTTTGCCTACTCCGAAAACTGTCTTTAATTAGAGAAACTTCAATTAGATAGTGCCTTTTCAGTCTTAAGATGTATAATGGCCTACTTCACTGGGATCATTTGGAGTTACTTTACAATGATGTCTTTGTCACTGTGACCATAGCTTATGAATCATTTACTTCAGGAACATTGCGTAGATATTGGTTTGGTGTCCTATGAACACTGGGACTGAGGAGTTAAGTTCAATCGACATAGATAAATTTATTAAGTCTTGACCTCATTTCTTCCCAGACACTGAGACTTGTGACTATGGCTGGCACAAATTCCAAGGACAGTGCTACAAGTACTTTGCTCACCGCCGCACATGGGATGCTGCTGAAAGGGAGTGTCGTCTGCAGGGTGCCCACCTCACAAGCATCCTGTCTCACGAGGAACAAATGTTTGTGAATCGTATGTACCAGATGTGAATTGTTTGGAAATTTACTCATCCGTCCTTTATCTTAGCTATCTTTGGATCCCAATTTAAAATAGTTCTCTATGCCTTCATTCAGTTTATGAAGTCTCTCACTTACGAACTGTGTAAAATAACCTACGTTACCATGTCCACTTCAAAATACCTTCAGATATGGTACAAGAAATGGTTGCTTAGCACACCAGAAGTATCAGGTGGATCAGTAGAGTATGGGTTGAATCATATGCAATTTCTGTATCATCTACTCCCGATACAAACGGGGTTATTTCTTATGGCTCAATATAGTTCTTATCATCATATGTTTAGTTTTCACCACCACCTTTTCTATTTTGAATATTTTCATGTGTGGACAAAGTTAAGTATAAGTTGCTTTGACTTTTTTTTCCCTGCAAATTAAAATAGAGTCATGAATAGCACCCTAATCGTAACTCTGTGCACACCGTTTCTCTTCCAACGGTCTCCTAATTTTAGATGGTCAGTTGCCTATCAAGATCACAGGCAGGGGAAGACTAAAAGCTGGTAAAACTTAGTGTTAGGGTTGTTTCCTACATCTTAACTCATAGGAAAGAGGGGGCAGCTAGTTTTTATATAGCACATGGCTAGAACTACTTTGCTCATGAAGCAGAGTTTGATGTACAACTAAAAGTAGCCCCAATGCCTTCTATCCTTCTAAGATAGTTTTGTTAATTTGTCATCTGGGTAGAGTGCATTGAACATTTATTAAATGATATTGTAGCTAGTGACTCATGCCATGGTAAATACCTTTGAAAGTAATTTTTTAGAACTATTTGGCCTTCATATTCACTGTTTTGAGAAAAGAGGTGTGCTTTCTCCAAGTGAGAGGGGAATATGTAAAATCTGGTATAATTCATTGGACCACTAAATCTCTGCCAGTGGTGAAGATTAACAAGAAAAGTATGAGGATACTTACTATCATGAGGGAAGATAGAAAAATATTTAGTTACAGTTTATTTCTAGGGCAATTACCTCTGATATATTATTCTTTTCATAGCACTTTAAAATGTGCTTGTTAATTTAATGCTTATTGGGTAGAAGAAGGACCAATTAGGAAAGATTTTTTTTATGGACAAGTAAGAAAAAAAATAGAGAAGAGGGTGCATAACTCACACTGAAAATGATTTTCTTTGAAATTGTGCTTGGAACAGAGGTAAAACACCTGTCTTCTATCACTTAGGTGTGGGTCATGATTACCAGTGGATAGGTCTCAATGACAAGATGTTTGAGCACGACTTCCGTTGGACTGATGGCAGTGCACTGGTAAGATGCTGATGAGAAAGAATGCATCAGGGTACCATGCCCTGTTCTTATGTTACAGTGTGAGAAAGGGACTGGTTAGGATCACTCCTTGAAACAAGTAAGGACTCTGTGTTTACAGCTAACTTGTATAGTCATCAGTGCTGTCTCCCAGAGCTGCAGTACTCTTAAAAAAGAGCAGAGCAGACTCTGTAGAAAGGAACAGCTAGACAATGAAAATTGTGCTGGGCCATCCTTTCAGATGGTTTATCTTTGCTTTATTAGCTTCAAAGCAAAAAGAGAAAGAATAAATGCAAGAGAGACAAGACAGTCTTTTACAAATACTTTCCTCTTACATAGTTGCAATGAAATTCCACTATAAAGTGTGGCTGACTTTTATGTAGGAAAAAGGTTCACTTTTTAATGTAAGGAAATTTACAATGTTGTAAATCTGATCCCACTTCAGTACTGCTGAATAGTCTTTATTTATTATTTATTTCTGTTTCTTAACATAAACATAGCTTAGAAATTCTCGCAACTCGGCTTAAAGTTCACTAGTTTTTGGTTTTGTTTGCTTTTTGTTTTGTTTCTGTTGATTTTAAGGAAGGGGCTCACCATGTAGGCCAGGCTGACCTGCTGCTCAATATGTATAGTACAATATGTTCTTAAAACTGAATGGACAAGAGAACCCAGTGTTTTAGTACAAGCCCAGCTGTGAGTTACCACACTGGATGTGCTCAGTGCCTCTCTTCATAACAGCCACTTGGGGAGAGTAATTAAACACCTTTCCCAGGCTCCTGTCCAGATGTATTCTAGCAAATCCTTCAGCAACAGAAACACAATTTCTATGTGTTTCTGAAATGCCATTAGCATTGAGATCCACTCAGTTGGACAGTAAGTATAAACCAAGTTTTAAATTTGATAACAGGAAAAATTATGAATAATTTTTAAGTTTTAGGTTTAAACTCTTGTATATGAATTACCTAAGTGATTAAGTTTTACTTACTACTTGTCAGTCATCTGGATTTGTGTTTTGGCAAAAGGTGAGGGTCTTTCTGGAATCCATCCTGAACTTCTCTCTACTTCTGGAAGCTCTTCTCTGTCTAAGGATTCCTGTCTGGACTCTTAGGGCTCACCATACATTTGGGACCAGATATCCACTGAGTTCACACATCTGGGTCCAGATATCCACTGAGTTCACTCATCTGGGCCTAGGTATCCATTGAGTTCACCTGTTACTCGAATTCTTTGTCCAGAGTCACACAACTGCTGTTAAGAGGCCAGTACTTGAGCTCAGGTCTGTGTCCACAGTGAGTGTTTCTTCTGACTCATCCATTCTTGATGTGTATAAACAGCATACTTCATTTGAGTAACTCCTCTCATCATTATGTCTGGGAAATTAGCACTACCTGTCACTGAAGTACATAAGAAGACTTTTGGCAAGAAACTTTAGTTTCCCTGAGATGAAAATGCATGACAGAAAACCTCAGGGAGGTTCTTTGGCTCCTATCGTGCAAAGAGGTCAGTGCAGGATATTTGATGGTGGGAGGAACTAGATGGTTCCTTGCAATATGGCAGCTTGGGAAGTAGAAGGTGGGTGACTGAACGCAGAGACTAGGTAATAAATAGCGTGCCAAGTCTCACCTTTAAACACCTACTCTGCCAGGTAGGTCCCATTTGCTGAAGGCTCCCCAACTCCACACAGATGATGGCACTATTGACTAGCAAGCAGTCAAACCACAGGCTTGTGCGGGCCATTTCAGAACCCAATCCTAACACGATGAGTTGGAACAGGCATCAGGCTTTACTGCTTCCCCTTATTGAGTTCTGGTGCACTAAAGAGTCCTACAGTTGTCTCCGCTCAAGTCTAGCTACTACAAATCTGCCCTTCTCACACCTCAGAGTGATGTGCAGTTCCTTGTGTGCTGCTGTCTTTAGCTCAGAAACTGAATGCTCAAGGCTTAGCTGGTCAAGTGGTCTTGGCACTCACTACATGTGTCATGTGGATCTGGGCCACTCTGTACCCCTCCCATGCTTTGATTTCTATCATATCTAGAATGAAGCCTCCTGCTTAGCCCTGTAAGCTAGTGTGATAAGGCCAGATTGACCTCTTTCTGGCAACTATATGGAGTGTGTAAAAATAACTTAGGGAGTGTACCTTCTCTGACACATACATACAGGTCAACTTGAGATAGCATTATTCTCCTACTCCCCAAGAAGGCAAACCAAGTCACTTTTGTTTGTGTTTGTCAGTTTTGTGTTTATTTATTAAGCATTCTTTGACAACCTCGTATATTATGTAATGCATAGTGTGCTTATGAATCTTACTGTCACCCTTTTTTTCTCCCTCCGCCTCTCTCTCTTGTCACCCTCCTCCTTCCCACGAACCCCTTTCTCACACTCACACCTTCTTTTAAATCTTGTTTTGTGACCTTTTGGGTTTAACTGGAGTGGCCTGTGTAACCCTGGGTTTAGACCTGTGCGTTGGAAACTGATGTGCTCACCACTGGTGAGCGGGGTTTAAATGCAGCCTCTGTCCTTTCGATGCTCTTACCACAACCCAAGAGACTGAGACAGCCCCTCTTCTTCCTTACAAGGGGTCACTCCCGCACACCTGCAGGCAAGCCCCTAGGATGTGGTGGTCATCACCGCTAGTTCACTGGCAAGGTACGACGCCACTACAATCAGTAGCCAACTGTTCAGCAGGGAGGAATAGCCTGAACTCCCATCTGTATGCACGCATGGCTGCCTACAGGCCCAGGCTTGTGAACGCCCGGTGTAGGCAAACGTAGTTGCTGTGAGATCACACATGTGATGGCTGTGCCATGCTCAGAAGATAATAGTTTGCAACTGTTTTTGCTATCCTCTCTTTCAGGTGATCTTCTTGCCCCATTTTGTGCCCATAAATTTTTTTATATAGGCAGAAATGTCTTATAAAGTTAATGTAATTATTTCTATAATCAAGAGTGACTCCAAATTCAGTAAAATAGTGAACATTGCACTTTTTCAAGAAAGAAAATATCTGCTTGGGGTATTTTGAAGGGAAGACAGAACAATGTAACATAACAACCACAGACCATCAATTGGAACCTTAGTTTTAATAATTCACAGGGATCATTAAGGACTCAGTACCAAGCCTTTACTAAAATGAATCATGTAAACAGGCAAGGTTTATAAAAAAAAAATGGCAAAAGTACATCCAGACTAAACTGATACATCTTTGGTTTCTTCTTAATCTAGTCTTTGTATCAAACAAATAAAAAAAAAATGGTAAGGAGCGTCCCCTAACTTTAAACATTTCGAAACAGAAGAGCAAAGCTGCCCACCAGCCTGCCTATGTTTGACTGATCTCTCTCTGGCCCACTTTTCTCCTTTAAGAACCACCCTTTCTTCTGTCTTTTTCCTGTCTGAGAACGCCTAGGTGGTTCCTGAACTCCCTCCTAGATCTATGAATAGTCCTCATCTCCTTAACAGATTCCATATGTATGCAGGCACTGGCTAAATTAGCTTGCTTTTGTTTCATTGTTTATTCTGAGGTTTTCTGCTTTTGAGCATGTCCTTTCTAGGGACTAAGTCTTCATCTGGGAAAATGGTACCTGCTTACACTTGGCAAAAGTGAATTAGCCACATGTAATTTTCAAGGACTTGGTTTCTGTATTCAACTGCTTTCTTGCCTCTTCTACTCTCTCATATTTTTTGTTTGACAGTTATTAGTTATTCAATTTGGTAGGTAAAGCAGTATCAAAAAGAAAACTACATTTGCTACATACCTGATTCTATCTTTTGCTATTTGGTATTCAGGAATAACCAGTATAATCTGGGGAGGGGGGAGGGAGAGAAATAGAAAGCTTTAAATAGATTTCAGTGTCACTAATTTCATTTATTGAAACAATTAAAGTTTGTTTCCAATAAGCTCACAGTATAGTCATATCATATTTAACACGATTGTATTTCATAGCTAGACTAATTCAATTCATCTACTTGTGCTTAGTTAGAGATTCTGTTCGGCTAAGTCATCAGAATTCCCTGTATTCCGCAGATTGGATGATCTTTACGTTCCATTGGCCTCTGTAATAAAATGTTGATGATACCGATAATAAGCCAAATTCTTGTTTATGTTATAGTGGAGAAATCTTTTCATTATTTACTTGGGGTATTTGCCTAGTAAATTTCACAAAGTATACTTCTGGATACAACAGCATCTAACATTCTTTTGTGATTTATGTTTTTATTACTTTTCTTGACACATTTCAGCTTTCACTTTGTTTCTTGGATTTTTCTTAGTCAGTTTCTCTTTGCCTTCAGTATGTCTGACAATAAAGCATACCTAGTGCTTTATTACTAACCCTGACAAATGACTTTGTCTATGAATTCCTTTCCTTGTCACCTTAGTTATATGTTCAAAGTCACTAAGTTAAATTCTCCAAGTTAAACATACATTAAAGACTGAGAAAGTGAACAAACTTTTCTTATCAGGTGTTTAAATTGTTGGCTGACTTTGAGGTTGTTTCTTTGACCAAATGTTAAATGAATGACTTATCTCAAGTGTTTTCCTGGCTGCCACTGACATTCCCTCTCGCCAGACAGTGAACTTTTTTTTTTAAATGCCTGCCTCTTCCTTCCTTCCTTCCTTCCTTCCTTCCTTCCTTTCCCTTGTCTCCTTCCTTCTTTCCTTCCTTCCTTCCTTTCTTTCTTTCCCGTTTTGCTGAAGACAGATCTTTTTTCTTCCATTTTATTTGTGTTTTGTGTATAGTAAAAGCTGTTTTATTTTTATATATTTTTTCATTTAAATTGGAAACAAGCTTGTTTTACATATCAATCTTAGTTCCCACACCCTCCTGTCCTCCCCTGTTCCCCCGACCAACCCTCCTCCAATCCCCATTCTGCTCCCCAGGGAGGGTGAGGCCTTCCATGGGGGGGGGTCTTCAAAGTCTGTCATATCATTTGGAGCAGGGCCCAAGCCCTCCCACCATGTGTCTAAGCTGAGGGGGTATTCCTCTGTGTGGAATGGGCTCCCAAAGTCC